CGAGGTCTTCCCCTCGCGGATGTGAGTGTCGCGGGGCCCTGCGGCGGCCGGTTGCTGGCACGGGCTCGGGGCCTCGCTCTGCCTCTCACATGTTTCCCCCGCCGGGCCCTGGGGGACTGGCCCGGAGACTAGGCCGGCGGAGGGGCTGGCGGCCGCTCCACCCTCAGTGAGGGTCCCCTTCGCCGGACGGATGGTGCCTCGGTCCATCTTTAGGGCCTCGTTCCAGGATTTGTGCTAGTGGAAGCTCCTGAGTGCAGGTCTGCAGGATAGCTGCTTTGCTGGTGCCTACTGGCAGCAGCTGTGGCAGTCAGCTCAAACAGCAAATATAGCTCCTGAGGGGTCAGTGCTGTACCCTTGTCAGCTCTGCTTATTCCTTCCTCCCGGGGGTGAAACACTGACCTAACAGTATCAACAGCAGGCGCTAGCGTAGCCCTGATATAGACGTGAAGAACAGGTTAGGGGCTAGGAGCAAGATACTTGACTCTTTAAGAGAAGGTGACATTATGTGAGTTGGGAAGTGAGGCCTTGGTTCTCTGCTTGAAGGCATGGGCTACTTGTAGGATGTTCCTGAAGGCGGAACTAGACCTTTTAAAGTCTTCTTTATAGAGCTGGTAGGGGAAGGTGAACTGAAACTTGCCTTTCCTTTCATTCAGATAGGAAATGCTACTGCATCATGGTTATAGCGAAATACAGCATGTGGGGAAATGGGACATGAGAGTAAGAAAAGAGAGGAAGTTAAATACTTGGAATGTAAAACCATATTTTAGTAATTTTCCAGATCCTAACAGCAAATGATTTGTCACATAGTCAGATGTCTTTGACAAAGCATGGAACGTGGCTATCATTGCAGCAGAACATGAGATGCTTGAGCTATGAAGCTATTCTTATGGTGCTGTTGTTGAACTTCCCCAGGGGCATCCAAATTTTGCCCTGAGCAGAAAGACCATTCCTAGTCTGTTTGAAATTACTAGCTGCTGCCCACACGTTTAATGGGAAGCTGGCAATGGTAGTTCCAGCAGCCCTGCTGTCTTGATCCAGGTGGTCAGGCTGTGAGTTGCACCTCCTTGTTCAAGCTGGGTGTGGGGAGGCTGCTGTTTGTTGTATTTAGTGATGATCAGTGTCTCAGAAGGATCATTGCCTCAGTCTTGATACCTCCATTTCAGTTGCTTCTCACTCCTGAAATGCAGTTTGCTAACCCTGGTGATGCAGGGACTCTAGGGTTAGTTATATACCTATTCTTCCTTCTGGAAGGATTTAGTGTGTTCTGTGAGTTGAGGCATTTTGATAAAGTCTGCTTTCCATTAAGATTGGTTACACCAGGTGAAATGTGATTTCACTTTAACATTTGGAGAGAGTTAAGTATCGTGTTAGCATATGTCTTTCTACATCAGAAGCTTGGAGTCATTTGCTGTACCTGCTCTGCCCTTTTCTGATGGTAAACAGGATTGTGTGCAGTTTATACATGGAGCTTGTTAAATCTTACTTGGACCAGAAAATGAGCCAGCCTTTGATAGCTAGATGACAGAATAAACCAGTTGATACAGGGCTGTGAAACCTCCAGATTTGTGACGTTTCAGGCAATTAATTCTTAAAAAAAAAAAAAAGGAAGCTTCCTTTCTGTTCCTTAAGGTACTGCTGACACTTGCAGTAAAAGTGTGTGTGTACAGGCACATGGGTTTGTCTGCCTCTATACTTAAGTTGTTCCATCACTATGGGATGTGAACATCTTTCAGACTTTTAATGAAGTTATTCTCAAAACATGCCTTTGTAGTATTGCCGCTGTACTTGTGGGCATCTGAGACAAGTGGCAGTTAAATGGCTTTTCCAAGGTCACAGAGGAAGCTTGTGGCCTTGTCCCCACTACAGAGACAACCTGAGCAATACTTTTAATGTCTTCTCTACGCGTGCTAGCAATGCTTAGGTTGTTGCTCAAATTAGCACAACTTGTTGCCTGTTAACAGCCGCTGTGTATAGCTTAACTATTGTTTTGCAATGTGACTGCTACCACTAAACTCTGCAGTGAAGACATGCTTTGTGGCTGAGATAGAAACCAAACCCATGGCCCTTCTGACTTTAGTTCCTAAGTCTGTACAAGGAGTGAGTTTAATATTTTATTCTGGCATAGGGGATATGTTGCACTCTAAGTGTTTTTTACTTTGGAGACAGTCAAATTATTTCAGTAACTTCTAAACTTCTTAGGATAGAGATTTACCCCACTCTTTGGACAGTGTTTCCTCTACACATGTGTATGAATTTGTTACGTTTGAGGCAAAATAGGAAAGTCTGTTTGTATCAATATTTAGTAAGATGAGGTCAGATGAAGAATCCTTGTCTTTTTTGTAGTATTTGCTGGGTGTTGAGAAGATTCAAGGGTCAAAATATCAGAAAGTAAATCTAATCTACTCAGGACAATAGTGGGTTAGTTTTGCTTTTCATTATTGGTTCTAGATCAGTTAAGTTTCTGGGAGTTTTGATTGCTCAATGAATGGCTTTGTATGATGGAATAACTGAAGGATTACTTGAGTGGCAATGCCTTTTACAGCACTTGTCAGCACTTTGAGAGCCTCAGCTTTACAATCACTAACTTTGTAAACCCCATTTGTGAGGTGGTATTATGAATTCCAGTTTGTAAAAAGCTGAAACGCCTGCGTGTGGCAAGAAAGAGGAATTTGTTCTGTTACTTTTTAATATTGATCATTTTCTGCGTCAGAAATGTTTTTAACTTTCTCCTAATTCCATTAGGTGACAACAGAAAGACCTTTTGTCTTCTTGATTAACAGGGCTCAGACCATCATGAAAGCTCGTCTGAAAGGGGCCCAGACAGGTCGCAACCTCTTAAAGAAAAAATCTGATGCTTTGACTCTTCGATTCCGACAGATACTCAAGAAAATTATTGAGGTAGGTGAATTGTGTTCTCTTCTTTCTCACTTTATCAGGAACTCATCATGTGCTTTCTCTAAATCCTGCATTTCCACGCTGCTTAAGCTGCGACTGCTTTTGTATAGGTTGGAATTTGGAACAACTTTGTGGGTAACCTGCATTCTCAGGCACTCGGGTAGCTCACGGAAGATTTGGGTGTGATCCCCATCCCCCCATAGAATACATGCAATTTGCACTCTTTATTTTCTAACATCAAAGTGTGTGTTTTGACATGACCTGCAAAATTCACTGCAGGGGAAATGATTCAGTGCTGATGATAAATAAAAGTTTTGTTTAGAGGAAGGTGGACAGAAGTGGTTTTCTTCACTTGTGGTGCACCTTTCAAATCTCTTCCCTCTACGAGCAGCCATAGAAGACTGAGGGGGGATTTGATAACAGTCTTCAAATACATGATTGATGGTTTATTGAGAGGATGGAAATGGGCTTTTCTCTGTGGTTGTAGGGGACAAGACTAGGAGCAGTAGCCTCAAGCTTCTGCAAGAGAAATTTAGGACTTTAGGAGGAACTTTCTGATTATTAGGATGGTCAATTACTGGAAAGGGCTACCTAGAAAAACTCTGGAATGGAGATTGCTTCAAAGTTTTAAGAGCTGATTAGGCAAACACTTGACTGGGGTGGTTTGGTCAGGGATGATCCTGCCTTGAGCAGGGAGCTGGACTAGATGACTTCATTCCTTTCTAGCTTTACTTTCCTATGGTCCTATAGATCTGCTTCCTTCTGTACCCAGAGGTCTGTCTAGGCTCTGCTGGAAATTGGCTGATGGTGTAATGTGCCATAGGACTAGTTTTTAACTAGCCATGTATTCATGCTTTTTGAATTACACCTGGCTTGGGAGGATGCTGCTGACTTGTAATATCAATTGCTTGCTAAGCAAATTAGCAGGTAGGGATAACCAGTCCTGTCTAGATGGCTCTTGTTTCTTAGACATTCATGTTCTCTGCAGTACTAGGGAGAGGCCCAAGGCTTGGAATGCTGCTGAGTGTTTTGTTTTTTGCTCTTGCAACTGACCTGCGTTCAGCACCGCTTTGACTGAAACTGCTGCTGAAAACTTCTGCAAGCAGTGGTTCTGTTCCATGTTATAGACAAGCCATCAGAACTGGTCAGACAAGAACATGGCAGACAAGCTAGTTGTCTTCGGACTTGGAAGGCAGTAGTGAATTAGTTCATATCCAGATTTTCATTTCAGTATTTTCTTTGCAGTCACAAGGGCTAAGCTTTATCTTTGCTGGGAAGAGTTGCAAAAAAAGAGAAGGCATTTGTTGTGTAATTTGAGAGGTATAAGAACCGGTGGGAGTCTGATTTAAAGGCGGGGAGCTTGTATTGAGGTTCTCAGTTTGTGATAAAACGGGTCTTAAAGGGAGACATTATAATTGGTCTTATACTGTGTATCCAACTACTGTGCACTGAATCTTGCAGGGCTTGCAATCTCCTGCGTGCTTTTGACCCACAGTGTTGGGGAAACTTTGGGATACAGGATTTTCTTCTTCATGTCTTAAATGTTGGCAGCTGCACTGCTAATTTTCCAGGATTTTCAGGATTGATGATTGTTATGCTTTAAACTTGCTTCTCTGTTTCCTCTCAGACTAAGTTATTGATGGGTGAGGTGATGAGAGAAGCTGCCTTTTCACTTGCTGAAGCAAAGTTCACAGCAGGAGACTTCAGGTGAGGACCACTGACTGGCATTTCAGCACACAGGATCCTCAGTAGCGTCCTTTGCAGAAGTGATAGCTGTTGACTTTTTTTTCTTCTGGGGAATGAGTAGAAGAATTATAAGGGAAAAGGCAGCCTTATGATAAGGTGGGGGGGAAACAGTAAGAGAGCAAAATAGTTTGTGCTAGGGAAACATACTTTGGAAGTCAAACACCCTGGTTTTCATGCAAGTGTAAATCCTCAGTTGATTAAGTAACAGCTTTTCGTAGTTGGACTCTGAAATGCAGAGACATGAATGTGCGACAGAACATTAAACTAGTTTTCCTTTCGCTGTTCCTTGCAAAGCTAGAAAGGCAGGGTTCTTTCTTTTCTGGCTACATCACCACTTACCACTGTCATGAGGAGATCTACTCCAATTTTCCTATGCTACTGACTCAGTAGGGGATCTTTTCTCCCTTCTGGGTGAATGCAGTTTATCATAGAATTATTGAGGGCTGCACGTATAAATTAAGAATAGTAATTCGTTGATTTCATCACAGTTCTCTGACACTTTTGCATTCCTTTTTTCTTTCAAGAGTAAATTGTTATTTCACATCAAATATATATTTTTGAAACCTTTTGATCAGGTATAAACATGGCAGAATGAAATGCTCTGTAAACCCTCATGCAAATGAAGCAACCATGTTGCCTCAGACTGTGATGACAGAAGACTTGGTAAAGTCAAGCAGGGCTAGGTATCCTTACTGCTGGAAATAGGGGGTCTCATCCTTCTGGCATGGGGATGTACTTTTGATGTAGTAGATTAGGGTTGTCAAAACCATCAGGCCCTGTGAGCCAGATGGGGGTCACTGGGCTGGCCTGCAACCCAGGTGGGGGCCAACCCTTTGTGCAGGACCATAGTGCACAGCACACACTGGTTCCAGGGCTCACTATGCATGCAGCATATGGAGCCAACATTGGCGTGCACTGGCCCCAGCACATGTACTGCACTTGGTGCAGCAGGCAGCACAGGGGGTCAGTCCAGAGCACTGCATGCAGCCTATAGCCCAGACTGTCTGTGCCACATGTAGTACCAGTTCCAACCTGTGTGCTGTGCACAGCATATGCATGTGCTGTGTACACAGTGAGCCCTGGGGCCGGTGTGTACTGCATGTAATGCACAGAGTTTGATTGGTAGAACAGCTGGCATGGGTGCGTGCTGCATGCAGTGCCCTGCTGGACCAGGCCTTTGCAATGGTTCTAACATGGCCTAATCCAGATTGGCACTGGCTCCCAAGCCAGAGCCAACAGGGCCAGTTGGGGAGGTACTGCTTGCAGCCCCAGACTGACCACCTGTGCTTTGTGCAGGGTGTGTAGGGCTGGAGCTAGTATGTGGGGTCAGTCCAGTGATCCGCAGGCCAGATCATATGGCTCCACAGTCTGGATCCATCTTGCAGGCCATATGTTTAAGACCCCAGCAGTAGATAGCTCTTCTCTTTTGAAGCAGCAGTAAATACCCTAATGTAGAATTTGGGATACCACTTCTTGCTGGAGATGCACAGCCTCTCTTAAAATCTTTGGCAGTTTCATTTGGAAGTGGTACTTTTCACTTCCTGTTCTAATCTGTTAAAATGCCGAGCTGTAAACAGTAAAGGAACTTCATTTCTGTGTGTTTAAAGCTAGTATGTGCATATTGGTTATAAATCATTGTAGATTCTTTAAGTACTGTAGAAACTTGACTTTATCACATAATAGTATTGCGGGTGGACAGTCCTTGCATGTCTTTCCATTTGTCTTGATTGTTCTCTCAACCAAGTTGGCCATTGGAACTTGGACTTGGATGTCAGCTTTGGGGAATATGCAGCTTAGTCACAGACTGCCACTAGGACAGGGGTGGGCAATTATTTTGGGCGGAGGGCCGCTTACTGAGTTTTGGCAAGCCATTGAGGGCCGAATGACAGGCAGCCAGTGGCAGATAAATATTAATTTTCTTAATTTTGAGGGGGCCCTGTGGGTCAGATAGAGTGGCCTGGTGGGCCGCATTTGCCCACCCCTGCACTAGGAGGTCCCTATGAAGTTGCCTGCCAAGTACACTGCTAGTTTTTGGGAACCAATATGAGGCTTGAAAGTACGTTAATGGCCAATGGTCAAATGCACATTTAAGGGACTTGCCCCTTTACTTTTACAAGCACTCCTTTAGTTTTGCAATTGCAGTTTCATTGCTCTTGTGTTAACTTTCAGTTCATTTACAAGAAGCTTGCTGCACTGAACAACTAGTGTTTGTGAGTGAACAGTCTTCCTGAACTGAACACTAGTTGCACCAGTTTTTTGAAGCAGGTTGACAGCTGCTTGCCATATACACACAATAATCAGTTAAAGTACAATTAGATTCTGCCTAATCAAGATACTTTTTCTTCCTTTCAGTACCACTGTGATCCAGAATGTGAATAAGGCTCAAGTCAAGATCAGAGCTAAGAAAGACAATGTAGCAGGTGACTAATTTCCTACTTTTAGCAAAGCATGGGTATTTCCCATTGGTTTTTCCTGGGAAGACTCTGGAATACATAGGTTTGTTTCTAAATCTGTGCTCCCATAGTCATGTTTCTCCCTTCCTCCATTAGTTGTAGAGACACTTGCTGAGAAAATAACAGTGTTGTGCTTATAAATTTGTCTCGTTTTCTTAATGGTAATAAGTTAGTAGGGTGGTTGCTGTGGCAAAACCTTTCAGCGTTGGGGTGCTCCTGGAGATACAGCCTGAGTTTGTATAAACTTATTGGTCCCCCATTCTGCTGAATGGGTATATTCAGATTATTAATTAGGGCAGAAATCATGATTTACTACAGGTACTTTGGTAAAGCAAAAGGGATTTTTACAAGGAAGAACAAATGGTATGAAATAGAAAAAGTGATCAAATGCTTTGGCTACAAATGGTACAACAAGACTGACAGAATCATTGCAGACTACCATCCAGCCCTCATAAAAATTCCTGTGAAAATCCCCTGGAGTCAACCTTTCCTCAGTCACAGCTAGCTCCTTCAAATAGGGACTTCGCTTCCCCCGTCTTCTTGCAGGGAGCATCCTTTCTTGCCACCCCCTAACAGTCACTACCTTCATAACATTGCACACAGCCTTCTCCAGACCCTCTGCCGTCTGCCTTCAGGGGAGCCAGAGAATCCTCTAGTCTTTCTGCCTGTGAAACTGTGACGGGTTCTGGGGTTATTAGTTTCCTATCCCAGTGGCCAGCTAACCTACAGGGAAAACCCACGTTCTCCAGAGCTTTGTTCTCTGCAGCCTTAATGAGTAAGTGGTAGAAGCTGTCATGTTCCCAGAAGCCAATTCTAATAGTTGTCACCATTGGAAAGCACTTTGTCACATGCAGCCTAAACTTTAGCCTGATTTCATTCTATTAAATATTCTTGGTGTTTATTCCTTTTAAATACTTTTATGATTATTGTACCCACAGTCTTCACTTAACCCAGCTGTATGCATGTAGGATCTCTTAATGTTATCTTGAATCTATTTTTCAAGTTGAAATAGCTATAACTGTAGTGCGGTATGTTCTGCTTCTGCAAGCGTAGCACTGTAGTCTGAGTAACAAATCTTAGCATGCCTCTTAAACTCATGTTTTTTTAACAGGTGTGACTCTGCCAGTGTTTGAGCACTACCAAGAAGGAGGAGATAGTAAGTACAAAACATGTTTTATATCTCCAGATGTGTATGTTGGGACTTGGGGGGAAGTTTCTAGTGAAAATATGTAACAGTTCTGGATATTTTTATCAGCACAGGCAGTGGTAATGCAAACTTCCTCCATGCTGTTCTGCCCTGGTTCCTCAACCATGACCTGGAGGAGTTGCCTTCAGGGATTGGAGAGGAGTGTAACTTTGGATGTCAGTAGAGATTCAAAATGCAGAGGTTACTTTTGATAGTAGGAGGTTGCTTGTGATAGTAAATGTGTCTGTGAGCAACTAATATGGGACTGGTTGACATTGTATACATTGTAGAGTAGTTATCCAGCAGTTATGACTCTGCATATACCAGGCTCTGCAAGGCTAGAACATCTGACAGAAGTGAAAAGTTTAGCATCCCATTGCCAGTGCTGGAACCCTCCCCGTATCTGTAACTTGTGGCAGCCTGATCTTTATTGTTAGGGATACTAAAATTGATGGGTTGTTTTAGGTTATGAGCTGACTGGCTTAGCAAGAGGTGGGGAACAGCTGGCAAAACTGAAGAGGAACTATGCAAAAGCAGTGGAGCTGCTTGTAGAACTGGCCTCATTACAGGTGGGTGAGAGAACACGAGCAAAGGTGCTTCTCATGCTTCTGCTTTCTTACAGTTGTTAGCTTTGGAGGCACAACAATCTCTGCAGTTTCTCAGTTTGAGTACCTTCACCCTTTGAGCTGTGAAGTCCTGGCAGCTAAGGGCTTCAGTGTTCTTTCTTTTCTGCAGTTCTTTTTCAGTGTGTCCCTTCTTTCTCAACAGGGTCTGCAGTTTTTCTTTTTTTCTGCCCCACCACCACCCTTCACCAATGGCTCCTGTTGGCAGCCACAGCCACTGAACGCTTGCTCTGTCTGCTGTTGATCCTTTACGTATATTTCCTCCTGCTGAAAATATATGAGAAGGTGAAGGGCTCGTTTAGCAACTCCCAGATGCACCTCTTCAGTGACCTCCATGTGGCCAGTTATCTCACTGCTATTCTGAAATCTCTTGTGATGCTTAGCTAATAATGTCCCTGTAGGCTGCTGGCATATGGAACACTAGGGTGATTGCTGCCAGTATTTGGTCAGCAGCAGGAAACCATAACATTAATGGCAATCAACCTGTTTATACCAGGGTAGCCTTGAGCCTTCCAGAACAACAGACATGGCTCACAGAAGGCAGTTGGTTTCGCTTGTATGTTGAAAATGCTGGCTTTCATTGTTTTGCTAATTATTTGATCTCATTTTGTCAGACTTCCTTTGTTACTTTGGATGAAGCCATTAAGATAACGAACAGGCGTGTGAATGCCATTGAACACGGTAAGTGCTTTGGAAGCTTCCCCTTTTAAGACCATTATGATATTTGAGCCTCTTTAGGAGATCATAGAATCATAGAGAAGTAAGGCTTGAAGGGAACTACTGAGGTCATCTAATCCAAATCTGTGCCTGAGGGGAGGATCATCCTTATCCAAATGATTCGCAAAACTATGCAGTCAATTCTGACAAAGCAACAAGAGAAAAGGCCATAATGTGCCACAGTTAAAGCAGAGGGGCCACGGTAGTCAACATTCTGTTGTTGCAGAGGTTGTTAAAATATGCTCAAGAGATAACAGAAAGAGCGCCACGCTCGCCATTACTGAGGAAGGCAAACCCCCCCACAGTCTGTACTGATATGATCATGGGGTAAAGTTCATTCCTGACCCCAAATGTGGCAATTGCTCTGACCCTGGATGGAGGGGCAGGACTCTCTAGCCAGGAACCTCTGTGTTTAAGTCCCATCAGGAACATTTGCACATCCCAGTCAAAATCCCTAGCCTTGGCTGCAGCCAACACCCAGTGCTTCTGAGGAAGCCTTAAAAAAAAAAAAAAAAGCCAACCCCTGACGTGTAGCAGTGTAAGGGGGAAAAATTCCCTCCTTGCTGCACATGGCAACCAGCAAAACCCAGGAGTGTGGAAAATACCTGTAGAGCTTAAGCACAGGTATTCCTAGATCCTGGACCAATGCCTGCTCAACTTCTTGAATACCTCCAGTGACGGACAGTCCACTGTTTTCCTAGGAAGGCTATTCCACCGTCTCACTGTTCTAACAATGAAGAAGTTTTTCCTTCTACCCAACCTAAACCTGCTTTGCTGCAACTTTGAGCCATCAGTCTTGCCCATGCTAGCAAGAGAAAAAAAGTGTTTTCCCTCTCTTTATGGCAACCCTTCAGGTATTTGAAAGTTACCATCATGTCTCCTCTAAACCACTTTTTCCACAACCTGAACATGTCTATTTCCTTCAACCTCTCCTGTATGACTTGTCTTTCAAGTTTCTTATTATTTTTGTGCCCCTCGGCCCCCTGACCCTCTCTAACTTCTTTACATCTTTTTAAAAATGTGGAGCCCAAAACTTCACACAGTACTCTAGATGAGGCCTGGCCAATGCTGAGTAGAGAGGCGTGATTGCCTCCTGCGTCTTGCACGTACTGCTTCTGATGTGTAGCTACATCACAACTGCAGACTCGTATTGATTCTGTGGTATATCAATATGCCTAGATTCTTTTCTGTAGCATTGAAATCTACCCAGATGTCACTTGTGTTGCGTTTTGTATTTTTGATCATTCTTCCTGAGGTGTAGCACCTTGCATTGGTCAGCACTGAACTTCATCCTGTTTGTATCAACCCAGCTTTCCAATCTCTCAAGATCTTTTGGAACTGTGCTCCTTTTGAGCAGAGTCTTGGTACTTAATTGATAATTTTCTTAGTCTGCTTTACTGTTTGAGGACTTTCTGTACAGATCAAGAGTTGCTATCAATATTAAATATGTACAGTAAACCATGCAATGCTGCTCATCGTAGGGAAACAAAGGTAGTGTGAGCATTGGAAGAGAGGTTGAGGTAGCTGTTTTTAGGTCCTGTAGGTCAACTGTGGTGGTGGTGTTGACACCTACATAGTCAAATGGGTCGCTAACTGGCTGGAGGGCCACACCCAGAGAGTGGTGGTGGATGGGTCACTTTTGACCTGGAGGGATGGGGGCAGTGGGGTCCCACAGGGCTTGGTCCTCGGGCCCTCACTGTTCAACATCTTCATCAGTGACTTGGACGAGGGGGTAAAAAGCACCCTGTTCAGATTTGCTGATGGCACTAAGATGTGGGGGGATGTGGACATGCTAGACAGGAGGAATAGGCTGCAATGAGACCTAGACAGGTTACAGGGGTGGACGGATGAGAACAGGATGGGTTTCAACACTGACAAGTGCAAGGTGATGCACCTGGGGAGGAAGAACCAGAACCATACCTACAGGCTGGGGAACTCCCTTCTCATCAGTGCAGAGGCAGAAAAGGATCTTGGAGTCATCATTGATGCCAAAATAAACATGGGCC